TATCTATTTCCTCCTGATGGATTACATAACCTTGACAACAATCAATTCACACCTGATGCTGAAGATTGTGATGTCATATTTAAGATGTTGTTGATTTGTATCCTACAGTTTTAACTCATTCACCCCTGAAAATTCATAATGAACTATTCCCACCTTTGAATTGGAAGAGTTCAAATGTGTCTTCAGGGGTGAATGAGTTAACAGGGAAACTTGGTGTACAGTAGCACTATACAAATATGTTACAAATATTGTTCCACAAATTACCCTTTTACTTCAACATTTACACTTCAAGTTTTCTTAATGTTGATTCATTAATAAACCATTTCATGAATGTGGAAAATAAGTGGTTTATGAAATCTATAAAGATTCATCCTGATCAAATTTGTTATTTTTGTTTTCAATCCATAGATGTATGATATATATATATGTACAGTGGCTAGGAACAGAATTTTTAAAAATTCTCCGGAATTTTATATGAAACGATCATTTTAAAGTTGTGTAAACAGCATTGATCCTTTTAAGTTTACTTATGAATAAATGAGTCATGTGTTGATTTAGCTGATAGTATGAAACATGGTAAAATGTGAAAATGGTGACCCTAGCTGTATCAAACACAATATTTAACCTTTAACATGGCTGGCTGGTCACAGCTTATGTACATAAGATATACTACTAAAACATAAAAGGGAAAATCCATTTAATGCATGAGTATGTACATGTAGCAAAATCAGTTATCACCAGGTATAGAATAGCCATCGGTTGTCAGTGTTCCGTGAAACCTAACAGCTAGCAATTACTGAGAGCTGTTATTACTACAGCTGATCTTTTTAATATTACCAGTACTATATACAGCATGTTGCTTCAAGTCACACTCGGTCTGTGTTCATCCTGTCATTTTCTCTGAATATCGAGAGCAACTTTAGGTAGAGGACGTATATTACCACATTTTAAGGTGAAACTTTTCATAAACTTCAACTCATTCACCACTGAAGTTTCATAAAGAACTATTCCAACCTTTGAATTGGAAGAGTTCAAATGTGTCTTCAGGGGTGAACGAGTTAAGGTACTGCTGTGCTGTATACATGTGGAGCTGGGTTTGGGCGGACAAATTATCCCCTCCTATAAGGGATCTGTGATTGTGGGTTTGGTCTAGGGGTGGGATATGGATGGCAAATGCCCCCTTCTATTGGAGATTATTACAGTATTTGTGGGGTGGGTGTAGGGGGTGGGTTAAGGAGGGCAAATCCTCCCTCCTCCCATTTTGGACATCCGAGACTGTGGCAGTGTCAGTGTATAAGAGAGTGTTTTAAGGAGAGCAAATCACCTTCTATTTAGGAGGTCTGTGATCATGGGGTGGGTGTAGGGGGTGGGTTAAGGATAGCAAAACCCCTCCTCCTAATGGGAGATCTTATCATTGGATGGATATGTAGGGGTAGGTTAAGGAGGGCTTATCAACTCTTCCTATCCCTGATTGTGTGGTAGCTCTAGGGATGGACGGTTAACTTAAGGGATGGCAAACCCCTCCTCCTATTATAGGAGGTCTGTGAGTGTAGGGGGTGGGTAAGGGATGGCAAACCCTTCCTCCTATTATAGGAGGTCTGTGAGTGTAGGGGGTAGGTAAGGGATGGCAAACCCCTCCTCCTATTATAGGAGGTCTGTGAGTGTAGGGGGTGGGTAAGGGATGGCAAACCCCTCCTCCTATTAGGAGGTCTGTGAGTGTAGGGGGTAGGTAAGGGATGGCAAACCCCTCCTCCTATTATAGGAGGTCTGCAAGTTTGAAATGTCTGTAGAGGGTTGATTTGAGCATTGAATTCCCCACCTCTCCCAAAAAGAAGCAGTCCAAAAGGGAGACCAGGTCATATATTTGAACAGCAGAAAAATATAGGGCAAAATCTTTAGTTTGGCTGACCAAAAGCTTCCCCATATACAGTATCTACTTTGGAGAACAGCATATTGATATCTTCAGTGTCAGCTGTGAATGACAGGGTATGCTATAGAGAATTTAAAAATGAAGAAACCAACAGTGGAATTATATAGATCTTATATATAAGGACTAGCGCTGTTCTGTTTTTAATATGAATTCACCAATATGTCCTGGTGTTCTCACATCAAAGTGACAGCATCCTATTCATAATTCTACACCAAGTTGTCAAAGATATCAATGATCCCAGCTTCTGACGTCTATTCCTTTAAGCAGAGGTTGAATAAGTTGATCATAATGAAAAACTTTTTATCTAAATACTGCCGAACATATTGAATCAATAGCGTTTTAATTGCCAGGAACTGAAATGCTAGATTATTGACAATGCCCAAAGAATTAGGAAGGACCACAGCAATGTAGTCCACGACACAAATTGATTGGTGGTGAATTATATTTCTATCAAGGCAGATATTGTTACAGAGAAATGTAAACAATACACGGACAGTGATTGCCCCATAATGATGTTACAACAAATAGGATTACGGTGGTCTCCTCTGTCGGTTCTACAGACTGCAGCCTCTCAGTGTCGCCAGTTTACGCTAGTTTAATGAATGTGGTCAGACATTATATCTTTCCAAACTGATGCTTAAGTGTGAAATTACATAATAAACAGTGTTTTATGGCAACAGATGCACACAACTGTCATAGTTAAACCAGTAATGGCCCATTCTCCAACTGATTACAGCACACAAGTACATGTATCTGTTCCTGTGTTACATGTACAATCTGAACATTACACATATATAACGAGCCTGGCCACAGGGGTCCCACATAGGCGGATGGTGAAGCTGTTTAAAGGATGTGTTCCACGCTCCCGTATACGTGCTGTATGTAACTGTGACAGCCTATCCGCATCTAAGGAGCTGACCGACCTTAGGGCGTGATCTGGACGAGCAAGGTCATTTTGAATCACCGAGGGCCCGGTAAGTTTGAGACTTACTCCCTCAAGACGCCAGAACACGGGCTCTGCCCGTGAAAAAGAGTCTATAAACCCATCAACCAACCAACCAACCAGAGGTCCCATCATTAACATCTTATATAACTTGACCTGGGATACAATTATTAAATAAAACTTTTTGAAACTTTCGAGAAGTTTGTTAAATCATACTGAAAATGCAAAGTTGTTATAATTCAACTAAAACTACTCTTTAGTCACAGATCTTGCAGTGTAAGGACAATGACTAATGTTCAGTATTGTTTTATGCCGCAAAATATTTAAAATAATGCAAGATGCTTCTCAAGCAATAGGAACATTTATTTCAGCATCTGCTGCTTTGGGATCCTTGAGCTTCAGGGTAAACAGATCTAGATATGATCAGTCTGTCCGCTGCGCTGGAAAGGTTCATTCAGACCTCAGGACCAATTGAAAACGCAATTTGTGTTTCAGTAAGTTCTCACTAGGGTTTGTAAAACAGTACCCCAAATTAGTGTACTGTCTTCAAAGGTGTTCGTACCATGTAACAAACCGAAAGGAAGAAAATGTGGTACAACTACACTGTGGCATACTGATTCACCCGTAAATTTGTAGTCATAGCAGACACATGGAGTTATCTCCCATGTGGTGTACATCATAGATGTCGTCACATATATATGCAGTTTCTGATTCAATAATTTATTATGTATTATATGTTGTATATTGATGATTTGTTGAAGGTAGCGTATAAGTTTCAGATAAAGGCATTATTACTTTTATCTGCTTATGACGTAGGTTTCAAGAAAATACATCCTGATTAAAAGAACAAAGATCAGATAATTCTTACTGAAAAATCCCAAATAAATTTACTCATTCACCCCTGAAATTTCATACTGAACTTTTCCAACCTTTGAATTGAAAGGGTTCAAATGCGTCTTCAGGGATAAATACATTTGTTTACTTCAAAATATGGAATTGAAATGTTAGAAAATATCCTCTTCACCGAAAGTGGCCCAGTTATTATATTTGATAGTGTGTTCTGTTCTACAGGACGTCACAGACAGTAGGACAGTCATCCACCATCAATCAGGTATAATTATGTACTAAACATGACACATAAAACCTTAAAATAGATCCAATCCTCACTTTTATGGACATGCATAAATGCATTCTATTACTTCTGTTTGTAGTCGTGCATATAGTGACCCAGTTACACTAGGCCTGTTCATCTGAACACATGGATATACTAGCTGCTTCCTACCGACTCGGCTAGGGAGAATTTCTCTTTAGCTCATTCGGTAGAGACTAGTAAGCCAGAGGTCCCGGGTCCGACTCCTAGCGGAGGCATTGGAAGAATAATGACCACCGTTACACTTAAACTAGAATATGTTTGTTAGGCACAGAAGCCACTGCAGCATTGTAGAAGTTTCACTGTTTGATTATTTTCTATATATAGAAAGAGTAAGGACAAGGAACAACCCAGGTCCAGCTTGACATTGACCTTCGTAATTGACCTCCTTGTAATCTTTATCAAAATCAGCTGCTAGAATATCACGATATTCAATCATTAGACAAATTTCTGTAAAAGGGAACAGTGACCTTGTCATTGACCTTGGCACCAGGAAACAAACTCATTTGGGGTAAATGTCATAGTCAACTTCCAAATTCCTAGGGTTATGCTCACTTACATTCTCTGCAACCCTGGAATATGTCATGACAGAAACACGTGGTTAGCATTACGATTGGTTTCAGATAAAAAAATCACGACAAATTACTAGGCTGATACTTTTCCTTTAAGTTTACAAAGGACAGACTCACGACTTCAAAGCCAGTCAATTTTACTGTTATGTATACATGTACACTGTCACAGCTTTTCGATTATGTCCATCAAAGGATCAAACAAGTGTAACTCCTATCATCCACCAGGTACAGAGCCTTCAATTTCATCACAACATATTCCAGGGGTGCAGAGAACATAAGTGAGCGTAACCTCCAGGAATTTCGAGCATGCTTCATAATAAAAGTAGGACAATATCAGGAGCTAACAGCTATATATATAGCTAGCTAATCAACCTTTTTGACAGAATAAAAACCATTAATACTTACCATAGTGTAGGGTAGATTTTCTTCTTCGCCAGGTCCCCCTTAAAACAGAACAACCATCAATGTATAACAGACAGTATCGTTTACATTACAGACAAAATAATGTTGAATATAAAACATGTACATCATGTGTTTTTAAAGTTATAATACAAGGAATTTAAATATTACATCATTCCTATCTGTTCCTGGTATAATATTCTAATATTGTACATTTTAGCTATAACATATGTAGCACCTTATGGTTAAATCCATACATATATATACTCAGGTAAAATCGGGGAACTACAACTATAATACCAAGTTCCCACATTTTGTTCCATGATGGTGAATTTATCATAACAGCAGATATTAGTTCATAGCATACTCTATAAAGTAATTTTATGTGAAGGGCGAGAGGGGGTGGGGGGGATTCATTGAAATTTATACAGAAAATTTCATACTATGGAACCAAAGGGATCGGCTAGGTTTTACTGCCAAATTCAGGCTGTTTCCCCTAGGTAAAATTGTCTTTCCCCAAAAAATGACAACAAAATGAGGAATATACTTCCAATTTCAATAAAATAAATGTTATATTTTCCCAATTTCATAAAGAACTGGCTTTTGTAAAATCAAGGTAACAAGAACACTGCAAGTATGAAATATAGACTGAAAATGACACTTAGCGGCATCGTTACAGTAAAGGTTAACACCTGAACTTAAACAAGTGTTTTAAACCTCGATCATAGTACTGTACCAGTGTGTTATACCTGTTAAACTGTCCTTAAACCTATCATAGTACTGTACCAGTGTGTTATACCTGCTAAACTGTCTGTAAACCTCTATCATAGTACTGTACCAGTGTTAAACCTGCTAAACTGTCCGTAAACCTCTATAATAGACTGTACCAGTGTGTTATACATGCTGAACTGTCCGTAAACCTCTATCATAGTACTGTACCAGTGTGTTATACCTGCTAAACTATCTGTAAACCTCTATCATAGTACTGTACCAGTGTGTTATACCTGCTAAACTGTCTGTAAACCTCTATCATAGTACTGTACCAGTGTGTTATACCTGCTAAACTGTCTGTAAACCTCTATCATAGTACTGTACCAGTGTGTTATACCTGCTAAACTGTCTGTAAACCTCTATCATAGTACTGTACCAGTGTGTTATACCTGCTAAACTGTCTGTAAACCTCTATCATAGTACTGTACCAGTGTGTTATACCTGCTAAACTGTCTGTAAACCTCTATCATAGTACTGTACCAGTGTGTTATACCTGCTAAACTGTCTGTAAACCTCTATCATAGTACTGTACCAGTGTGTTATACCTGCTAAACTGTCTGTAAACCTCTATCATAGTACTGTACCAGTGTGTTATACCTGCTAAACTGTCTGTAAACCTCTATCATAGTACTGTACCAGTGTGTTATACCTGCTAAACTGTCTGTAAACCTCTATCATAGTACTGTACCAGTGTGTTATACCTGCTAAACTGTCTGTAAACCTCTATCATAGTACTGTACCAGTGTGTTATACCTGCTAAACTGTCTGTAAACCTCTATCATAGTACTGTACCAGTGTGTTATACCTGCTAAACTGTCTGTAAACCTCTATCATAGTACTGTACCAGTGTGTTATACCTGCTAAACTGTCTGTAAACCTCTATCATAGTACTGTACCAGTGTGTTATACCTGCTAAACTGTCTGTAAACCTCTATCATAGTACTGTACCAGTGTGTTATACCTGCTAAACTGTCTGTAAACCTCTATCATAGTACTGTACCAGTGTGTTATACCTGCTAAACTGTCTGTAAACCTCTATCATAGTACTGTACCAGTGTGTTATACCTGCTAAACTGTCTGTAAACCTCTATCATAGTACTGTACCAGTGTGTTATACCTGCTAAACTGTCTGTAAACCTCTATCATAGTACTGTACCAGTGTGTTATACCTGCTAAACTGTCTGTAAACCTCTATCATAGTACTGTACCAGTGTGTTATACCTGCTAAACTGTCTGTAAACCTCTATCATAGTACTGTACCAGTGTGTTATACCTGCTAAACTGTCTGTAAACCTCTATCATAGTACTGTACCAGTGTGTTATACCTGCTAAACTGTCTGTAAACCTCTATCATAGTACTGTACCAGTGTGTTATACCTGCTAAACTGTCTGTAAACCTCTATCATAGTACTGTACCAGTGTGTTATACCTGCTAAACTGTCTGTAAACCTCTATCATAGTACTGTACCAGTGTGTTATACCTGCTAAACTGTCTGTAAACCTCTATCATAGTACTGTACCAGTGTGTTATACCTGCTAAACTGTCTGTAAACCTCTATCATAGTACTGTACCAGTGTGTTATACCTGCTAAACTGTCTGTAAACCTCTATCATAGTACTGTACCAGTGTGTTATACCTGCTAAACTGTCTGTAAACCTCTATCATAGTACTGTACCAGTGTGTTATACCTGCTAAACTGTCTGTAAACCTCTATCATAGTACTGTACCAGTGTGTTATACCTGCTAAACTGTCTGTAAACCTCTATCATAGTACTGTACCAGTGTGTTATACCTGCTAAACTGTCTGTAAACCTCTATCATAGTACTGTACCAGTGTGTCATACCTGCTTAACTGTCTGTAAACCTCTATCATAGTACTGTACAAGTGTGTTATACCTGCTAAACTGTCATTAAATCTCTATCATAGTACTGTATACCAGTGTGTTATACCTGCTAAACTGTCTTTAAGTGGCAATTAATTAACTCAACCAACTTTTCCTAACAGCACTCATGATCAAGACACCAAGGGCATGTAGCTAGACTTTAGTAGTTAAATTTGTAAGGAGGTGATCAAATATGTACACAAAATTGACAACACACTTACGATAATGTTTTCCTTAAAATTTAAAACAGGTTTAACCTTTATATTATATGAATATATTATAAGATATATTTAATTTGATACACTAAGTCTGATGAGTATCTTTGTTGACAAAACATATTTTATTCCAAAACTTGGAAGAACCATTCTATGTTGTTTACTGTAGTCTATATCTTATAAGTAAACCTAGTGTTACAAAAGCCATGTTTATCAATATATTGATAAATATACAAGTATTATCTTTTTACTTGCAAACTTGTGGGCAAAATAGTTTTTTCATTTTCTCCCTCCAAAAGCATTAAAATTTATCTGCAAAAATAAAATTCAAACTAAAATTCTCTTTAAAGCGTTTCAACACAACCATTTGAATATAAAGAAAAACTTTGAAAGTTAAACAAATATCTGCTTCTTATTAAACTGGATGGCATAGTCAGGTATGCACAAGTTTTAAATTGAAGATTTTTTGAAAACTATAATCAAATACGTATAAATACATTGTATATATGCGTGTGCAAGTAAACAATGTAAGATCGGTACAAAAAGACTACTATAGGAAGTATGAAAGAAACAGCACGGACTGCCGGTAAGCATGTAATTTTACAGGGTTTTTTCCAAGTGAACACATAAGTACATGTAGCTGATCTGGGATCATATATGAATCAATGTGGACAGCTGACACAGGGACATGAGGTAACATAGAAACCACATGTACATCCCCACGACACCCATGTAAGGTTATAGCAGAACACAATATCTTCACTGTATCGTATAACTTGTGACGTCTGTGTCTCCAGTATACAACTTGGTAGTATGACCCAGTCATAAGTTCCAGACCATGATTTGCCATCAAAAAGGGTCATTTAAAGTTAATATTTGGTCACACCTGGCAAGCAGACGGAGTTTTTTGTCTTTGATCTGGTGTAAAGTGATAGTCTCTGTAATCCACCTACAACCTTAAATGTATCTGTGCACATTTCTGTTCATGTTTCGTACGCCGCAGAAAAGTACAAAGATTACGTAGAACTGTAACACATCACCCGGAACATATGGCTCCACAGATATAAGTTCAATTTCAATTTTCTTTTAAAAGATGCATTGATGTATTATTTTTGCAATATTCAGATGTGCAGACTATATACAGTGTACGAAACATCTAGGTCTAGGTCAATACGCATAGGACCTCAAGTACATTCAAGAAAACCATATACATTTGTACCCATCTTTAATTAATGAGTTATCTACTGGAAAGTGGAATAGTAAAGTATATCACGTAGATGTCAGGTCAAAAACATATCAATTTTTGGTTGAGTGTGATCTGCTATTGTATGCACATATATAGCTATTGTATATTACATATTTTTAAAAGATTCCAAGAATAATAATATTTAGCCAAGTTTGACTGTACAGTTGGTTTCCAGGTCTGTTTGGCATAATAATTCAATTTGAAATTTACAAATACTGACATGCTGGGTCACATCCTTCTCTTCCCTGTCTCTGTAGTCTACCAGAAAGCTGGCCTCAATCTCTACTTCTTGGTTGGAGGAATGTGTTTATGGTTTCAGGTGATTTCAGTCTTTGTTTGTAGGATTTCAAGGTTTCATCGGACACAGTGTTGATGGATAGGGATTTCCAGTCTCTTGTTGTTCGGGGGAAAAAATATGTTCCTATCAAGTTCAAATTCTGTGTTGGTCACTTGCTGTTGAACGTTGATAATATTTTTAGTGCACGCTTGTGTATTTGTGTTCAGATCTAGATGGCGGTCCACAGGTATAGCCACTACCCCTTCATGATCTTATAGAAGAGAACTAGTCTCTGCTCACCTCTACGTTCTTCCAGTGGTGCAAGTCTTATTTCATTCAGCATCATTGGATGTAACGCTGCTGTCTCTTCGCTTTTATACCCAATACCTATACAATCTTATTACATGAACAGGCCTGGTCAACCCTCACTCTAACCTCAGTGACAGGTCTGGTCAACCCTCACTCTAACCTCAGCTACAGTCAGATAGCTGCCTTAATTACATGTGAATCGAATCAGCTTCATTACAACCAACTGATTACAGCCACTGAAGTAGACACTGCCCAAAAACTGTCAGCTTGATTGATGTCCGAATGAGATCAGCGGTCAAAATACATGTGGCATGGACCAGACTTGATAAGACACACTGTCTGCTCTACAGTTTGTATCTTAAAAGGTACACACTAAATTTCTATTCATGTTCCCATGTAACATTATAGGAGAACTATCCATCCAATCCTTCCTATAGTTTACCCCTTTATTGGCCTAAAAATCCTAACACTATCATGACTATGCATATATATATAGCAACAAACATTTTGTTTGTGCTGTAGTAAAAAATTTAAGACAATGACATTAATATCTTCCCATCAAGAAAAATGACCAGGGAAATGGTGCCTCTGTATACTGGGGTACTTTTTAGCTAGTATTGAGCAAGGATCCATCCAAAGAAATAGATCCATCTAGCGTAATACAATGACTGCCACATTATTTTATGTTTTCTTCAGCTACACTTTTTCGTAAATTATGTTGAAACTCACTGGAGTATGGCATTCAGGGGTTAACACGCAATGTTACTGTGGTGTAATATTACCTATAGATGTAAACCTTACTTTTACTGATAGTCAATGGTTGGCCGATATAAAGTATCGCACACGCAATGTTACTGTGGTGTAATATTACTTATAGATCTATGTAAACCTTACTTTTACTGATAGTCAATGGTCGGCCGATATAAAATATTGCACACGCAATGTTACTCTGGTATAATATTACTTATAGATCTATGTAAACCTTACTTTTACCGATAGTCAATGGTCGGCCGATGTAAAATATCGCACACGCAATGTTACTGTGGTGTAATATTACTTATAGATGTATGTAAACCTTATTTTTACTGATATTCAACGGTCGGCCGATGTAAAATATCGCACACAAAAATGTTGGCAATCACCATCAGGCATTTCATCTGACTTAGTTTGTTTTAAAACTTTCCAATTTAAAAAAATAAAAATAAATACTGGGTGACATTTTTTAACTAGCATGTACCTGGTAAGTGTTGCCAACTCTCACAAGAAACAAGATCAAACACTTCATGTTATATTGAAATTTACATGGAATTCCTGTTTTGAGGTAATCCCTTGTCCAATAAAATATCACATAAAAACTTTTCCCATTCACTCATGAAATCATTTTTCGTCAAGTGTCAATTTTGGCCATTCATATTTGATTACTTTGCTTATTATATGCTGTTGACTTGTATTCCCTGTTATGGTAAATTGACCCTCAGATATATAGGGAAAATGAAAAAGATAAAAATAAAACAGTAGCGGAAATTTCTTGGTAAACTGGTACCGGCATCAGTTAAATTGCTTTCATGAATCAGAAGGCCAATACAATTTTATTCCAGAATTTAATCCGTTGATAAAAATAACAATGATTAATAAGAACTTTTCCAATTTTTATGAAGTGTGTGCCTGGTGGTACATGTCGTTTCCGAGCTCCATTCTCTCATTTTATCGACACAATGTCACCACAACAGTTGCCCTAACTATGGATGTAACCATCATCATGTTGTTCGATTCTTTGCCTTAATATGCCAATATTGAACAAGGTTCTATTTAAGGACCAATCCAAATTGCATTGGTCACCTGGTAATTGGCAGCCCAGGGCCATAGGATAGGAACCATACCAGACTTGTAGTGACAACTTTGAAAGAGATGAATTATCATCATCGAGCCACATTTTTTTCAATAAGATAATGCACCAGCGCAAACCATTTGTGTCAGCAGAACAATGTTCAAGTGTTAGATTGATTGACCATCTAAATCTCCCATATGGACCATAGCGCATATGTAAGGCGACATTCACTTACTACAGACTAAAGTATTGACCGAGGCATATGAATGAACTGGGCAACAACCCCACTCCCGTTATCCTGCAACCCCTGCCTGCTCCCAGTATCCTGCAGCCCATGTCTGCTTCCGTTTTCCTGCTCATGTTATCATGCAACCCCAGCCTGCTCCCATATCTGAAACCCCAGCCTGCTCCAATACCTGCAACCCCTGCAGGGAGGGGCATGGATTCCATCTTAATAAACTTTGTTTCTCGCTGTTCGTTATAGATTTTAAAGTACCAGCAGCAACAATTAATATCAACACAGGGAAAATGAAATAAATCACTCAGTTGTGGAACTGATTAAAAATTAAAATAAAATGAAACCAAGCTAGGGAACTGAGAAGTAAATTAGCGACATTTCTATAACATATGTTGTCTTACTGATAAAGATGTGTGGCATATCAAACAGAGCAATGCTGTACAAGTGTATGGGATTAACCAGGATGTAAGTTTGGGGGATGTACCAGGATATGACTCTGGTTGAACATTACAGCTAGCACAAACCCACTCAGTTAATATTCTATGCTGCCAGCAGAACTAAATAGACTTCTATTGATCTGTGAAAGTATTATAATGTGAACAAGTAAAATCGGTAAAGCATTTTTTTTATTAAAAATATCTATTTCATTTAAAATCTAAAACTCACGGAATAATTTTACAAGGGTAAAAATCTGCTGTGTCACAGTCACTGCGTTTTTATTCAAAGTTTATGGAAGTTGCAACGACTAAACTAGGGACAGCAGATATACTCAACAAGTAAAAAGTTAGCAATGGAACATTTGTCACATTTTTAGGAATTTGTTCCGGTAGTAATTGAATGTGCGCTTTGAAACTGCGGTCATTCTGAGAAAAAGTCGCAAGTCATTTTGACATCCTGGTTTCTCACCGCTCGTCAAAATGAAAATGTAAACAAGTGTGCATGCGACTTGAACAAATATACGAAAAGACAATGTTCGTGGGAAAAAAATTAAGTAAATATGTGCACTTACCGACGCTCCCATTACGACAAATACATGAGAATTAGTTGACCCTTCGTAGTCGAGGGACTCCCTCAGCAGAGAGAGCATATCCAGTTTGTTCGGTGAGGCCATGTTTCCTGTTCACCGGCGCTTCAGCAAGTGCAGGGCCGAGTTCATCACACGAAAGCCAGCAGTTCCGGGTCATGCGCATAGTAGGTAGCTGGGCTATTCCATTCACTCACCTTTTCGCGGATAACAGTAGTAATATAAAATTAATAGACTTGTTTTGAAATAAATTTAACTGCGTTATTATAAAGGGTTTATGTATGAATAGGTGAAGAAAATCCCAGCTTTATGAAAAGTAACAACAGCAACTAGAGCTCTACAAGTGAATCGATAAAAAAATGAATAAAAAACGAGAACACTTTTCAAAAGCATAAGAGAAAAAAAAACTCATTGAAGCACGGAATTAGAATGTTATCTAAGTCCATGATTGAAGTAAGTTTATAGTATATGTTGGTTATGTCACGGACTTAGATCTAATTCCGTGGTTATGTATAGGCTACATGTAATGTTTTCCCGAATTTTTCAAGCAAAATATATATATGCGTTTAAATTGTTATTCGGAGATTTAAACTTCCCAGGAATAAACTATGGTCATTATCACGGACTTATATATATGCAGTGGCGGATCCAGAGACCTATCTGGGNGTAACACGAAATCTAGTGATGTAACTAAAGTGAGGCGGTGCGCGACTGCCTCCTGCATCAGCACGTGAGGCAGCCTACCCGGGAAAGGTGCACTGGAACTACAAAGTGTTATAGATCTTTATATATAAATATAGTTTTACTAATTACACAGGGTAGTTTATTGAATCGACAAAACTAAGCTCTCCCTTAGGTAAAAGTTATTATTCAGTCCAGTTTTAATTTTGGAAATAGAGAAATTCAACATATGTACGACAAAGGAAATTACAATGAACTTTCGGCGAAACTTAATAAAAGCATTTGATAAAGTTTCTCATCAACGCCTTATCCATAGCGACATATGGAATATCGGAGAGGTTCACTTTTTGGATAGCGAACTTTTTATTTGGAAGAAAACAAAGCGTCGTCCTGAACCGGGAGAAAAGTTGCAATAGAACCACAAGGGTCGGTTTTAGGACCACTTTTATTTGTAATTTATAAACAAGAGGCCCAGAGGGCCTGTATCGCTCACCTGGATATCTAAGCAATCATGGCAAAATATTCTCCAAATGAGATCCAAGGGAATATGCCAGACCCCAAGGCCAATCCTTGTAGCATATCTGTATTAAGTTTTTCATGCCCAGCAATTTTATGTATGGTTATGGGGTGGGAATCTCAACTGTTTCCAAGCTGTGACTCAGAAACTAGGTCCATAGGTTGTGGCCAGACCCCAGGATCAATTCTAATATCTTGACTGCATTTGTCTCTTTTTGCCCAGCATTTGTATTTATAGTTTTGGGGTGGGGATCTCAACCGTTTCAAAGTAATGACCCAGGGGTTAAGTCTGCAAAGGTGGGGCAGACCCTGGGATCCATTCTAATATCATGACTGCATTAGTCTCTTTATGCCCAACAATTGTATATATAGTTTTGGGGTGGGGATCTTAGCAATTTTGAAGTTATGACCAAGGGGTTAAGTCTCCAAGGCTGGGGCAAACCCAAGGCCATCCTGGAAGTATATGTGCATTCATTTCTTTATACTCAGCAATTGTATATATGGTTTTTGGGTGGGGATCTCAACTGTTTCCAAGCTGTGAGTAAGAAACTAGGTCCCTAGGGGTTCGGTCAGACCCCAGGGTCTATTCTAATATCATGACTGCATTCGTCTCTTTATGCCCAGCATTTGTATATATAGTTTTTGGGATGGGATCTCAACCGTTTCAAAGTTATGATCAAGGAACTATGTCTCCATGGGTGGGCCCAGACCCTATAGCTATCCTGGAAGCAACTGTGCATTCTTCTCTTTATATTCAGCAATTGTATATATGGTTATACGGTGGGGATCTCAACCATTTCCAAGTAATAAACTTTGTTTTGGCCCCACGCCTTAACCCGGGGGGTCAGCAACAATTTTTTTACAATTTTGAATCCCTACCTCCCATGAATGCTTCCGACCAAATATGGTCGATATCCATGGCACAGATCTACAGAAGAAGTCGTTTATAGCCAAATTGCCCCCTTTTGGCCCCGCCCCTCAGCCCCCTGGGGGGTCAGACCCACCATTTGTACAATTGTGAATCCCCACCACCTAGAGATGCTTCCAGTCAAATATGGTTGATATCCATCTCTTAGTTCCCGAGAAGAAGTCGCTTAAAGCAATATAGCCAAATTGCCCCCTTTTGGCCCCGCCCCTCAGCCTCCTGGGGGGTCAGCCCTACCATTTGTACAATTTTGAATCCCCACTACCTAGGGATGCTTCCAGTGAAATATGGTTGATTTCCATCTCTTAGTTCCTGAGAAGAAGTCGCTTAAAGCAATATAGCCAAATTGCCCCCTTTTGGCCCCGCCCCTCAGCCTCCTGGGGGGTCAGCCCTACCATTTGTACAATTTTGAATCCCCACTACCTAGGGATGCTTCCAGTGAAATATGGTTGATTTCCATCTCTTAGTTCCTGAGAAGAAGTCGCTTAAAGCAATATAGCCAAATTGCCCCCTTTTGGCCCCGCCCCTCTAACCCCTTTTGGCCCCACCCCTAAGCCCCCTAGGTGGTCAGCCCCACCATTTGTACAATTGGGAATCCCCACCACCTAGGGATGCTTCCAGTCAAATATCGTCGATATCCATCTCTTAGTTCCAGAGAAGAAGTCGCTTAAAGCAATATAGCCAAATTGCCCCCTTTTGGACCCGCCACTCAGCCCCCTTGGGGGTCATCCCAACCATTTGTACAATTTTGAATCCTCACCACCTAGGGATGCTTCCAGTCAAATTTAGTCAAATTCCAATCAGTGGTTAAGAAGAAGAAGTCGTTCAAAGAAATTGTTGACGTACATGACGACGGACGACGGATGCCACGGTATCGCATAAGCTAATAATGATATGCCTAATGTAATAAGTCCCGCAGACGATACGAAAGCATTTAGGACAATCAATGATGCAGAAGGTTGTAAGAATTTACAGCAGGATTCCCCCCCCCCCCCCCTAACATTTTTTGCAATCCCTCTGCCGATTCAGCTAACAAAACCATATCTTCTGTGTACATTAGAAGAAATAAATTAATAGTTTGGAGTTCTATAGAAGGACAGCTATCAGTAAAAAAAAATGCATCTCACAATCATTCACATAAAAGAAAAGAAAATCGCTGACAATATTTCGCCTTGGAACAAACCATTCCTGCATTCGAAGAAATTAGACATTGAATTGTTGAATTGAACACAACATTTTACATCGTTATATAAAGAAAGTATCATATTTAACAGTTTACCTTCTACTCCTTCCTTAATTAGTTTAAACCACAAATTCTGTCTGTTAACAAAATCGAAAGCTTTCTTAAATCTACGAAACAACAATATAGCTTCTTTTTCTTCTTTAAAGTTCTATTAATTAACGATTGCAAGACAAACACAACATCTATTGTTGACATATGCTTTCTGAAACCAAATTGAGCGTCACTTATTTTAAAATAAGCGGTATAAAATTCCATAAGTCGATTATTTAGGTTGCTGTAAATATTTTGGCTAAACAACTAACTAGAGTAATTCCTCTATAATTAGTTGTGTCATTCTTATCCCCCTTTTTAAATAAGGGAATAATATTACCTATTGACCATACGGAAGGATAGTTACAAGATTTGAAAATTTTATTAAATAATTTAACAAGACAAGGTAATAAAACCTCTTTACCTCTGATAAAAAAAATCATTAATTAACAAATCATGGTCACATGCTTTATCTGTGCTTAAGTTATTGATTACTTTACTAACTTCTTCTTTTGAAATGTCAATGTCCAGTTCATAAAACATAGCTTTAGGTATATCATTAGTGGCATCATAATTTCTCAAAAAATCGGTTACAGCCTCATTTTCACAAGGTTTCTTGGATGACAAATTACTAAAATGTAGATAAAAATCATGTTCTTTAAGTGAAGGCTTCACATTATTCTTTCTGTTATTGAAATATCTATAGAAATGTTTTGGATTATATTTTCTCATGAAGTTCAACATGTCACCTTGATGTGTTTTGTACTGCCTCTTCAACTTAAGTTCCATTTTCTGTTAACTGCGTTTTTTGAAAACAAGTGCGTCATGAATGTCTTCGTTCTTACATGAATTAAACATAAGTAAAGCATTCTTATATTCCATATAGCGAAGTTTGCAAGTTTCATTGAACCAGGGTTAATCTTCTTTCCCTTTTTTCTTATAATCACGTACAGGATGGGTAACAACACTAAGAGGTTATAATAGCTCTTTCAGAAGATCAGTAAAACATTTAACACTTTCATTGATACCCATTATTACTGTCACAACAATAAGAAAAATCGTTTCTATTATTTTCTAAAATATGACGTAAAGTTTCTGTATTATTATCATTCCATCTAATACGTGTCAGATTCTGATTACCAACTTGTTCCTGGACATAATTTACAACATCTGAACGCAAAGTAACACATATCGGAGGATGGTCTGATAACGCATTAAATACCCCACTTTCAAAATTGATAATATCTCCAATAACAGTATCAAAAGTTAATACATAGTCAATAAGACTAGTACCTTTACTATTAAAGAAGTTAACACTGCCATTTGAATCATTTTTGTGCCTTCCATTAACTATTCTCAAGGCAGTAGTCTTGCACAGGGATAGCAGTTGTCTACGCAACTGATTAATAACTGGGTCTGAATTGGAACGTTTAGTTGGTACAGAATCTGGCACATACGATACAATATTGGAGATAACATTGGCGGTAAACTCTGGGATACTGTCATTATTAATATAATCATTATTGTTACCCGTTCTGCTATTAACATCACCAAGCACCATTACCTTAACCACATCTTTGTACTGACACACCATTTCTTCTAGACAGGAAAACAAATAATTTTCGCATTTTTCATAAAAAGTGCTATTTACAGGCGGGAAATAACATGCAAAAAAATACAAATCAACATTGTCATTCGTTACATCACGAGATACTTTTAGTAAAACAATATTGTCATTTATGTT